GCGTCGAGAAAGTTGGCGGAAAGCCGGGCCGCGGGTTCTACCCCGCGGCCCGCGTTCTGGACCGAAAATTATCGGCTTTGCCCCGCAAGCTCTCTCGACCGAATTCATTTCCGCTCAACTCGTCTTCTGCCCCAATGCACGACTGATCTTGCTGACTGATCTCGCGAAGGGAAAAAATTTGAAGCCGACGCCAAGCTCTATCGCCCTAGCACCACAGATTTTGCGAAAATCTTCCCCCATTCTCAGCATCGCTCTCTCCTTCGTGGTTGTTAGCCGGCTTCCCCTAGGTAAATACTTCGTTTTCCCCTTTTTCCCTGTTTCGAGCTATGCCTATTCGCTTTTTGCTGTTTCTCTGTCAATCTGATCCCGTATGAAGGGAGCCAACATTGGCTTCTTGAAATGATCAATGTTCTTCTCTCCCGTTTAAGGTTCCTCTTTGTTTGATCAAATCCATTAATAACTATCCTGTTTCCAAGTCAAATGCCTTCTCTTTGATCCTCTTTATAAGGGTGTACCACTGCTGTTGGCAATAAGTCCTTTAATGATTAGTTTTAAAAATATTTGTTTGTTTCCTCTCATCTATGTTGCTATTCAGTAAATGCGTTTACTTCTTAGCATTGAAGTAGTATAGATTAAGCATCCTTTGCAGTATGGAATTGAATTAAAAATAACCATTGTTGTAAGCATTAATGGCATAATTATTGATGAATATAACATCATATTCTCATATTTTTTTCTTTTTCATAGCACTTTTGATACTCATTGCTAAGTGAGTGGTGTATTCGTACTATTGTTATGTTTTGAAATGATTTTATGCTTCTGAATTATCGAATTTGTCGGTGTCATAGTTATTTTTATTAAGCTCTAATTGGAATTTTGTGTTGAGGTTGAATTGCAGAAATTTGATTTTTCTTTTATGAGGATGTAAATAAAGTGCTGCAATTTGACTTTTCTTTTATGTGGATGTAAATAAAGTTTGAAGCAGTCAATTTCCTTAAAATGACCAAACCACTAGTACTGATTTTTCTTGAGAAATAAACCAAAACCGAATCGATAAAGTTTGATAAGTTTTATTGTGAGAAATTTTGCTCTACGAAGATCATTTAGCTTCATGTGAGCTTATTTTTCTTTGATTTTTGGTGATTTTGTGTATTGTGACGGTCTAAGACGTTGTGTATGAGATTTTTGAGTTCGTAGTTGTTGTGCCACCTTGACTATTATTTGGTTGCTTTGTTAAGCATTTGATGTTGTAAAAAATGCTCAGTTGTAAAAATTTCCAAAATGCTCAGTTGGAAATAAGTTTTGTTTAATCTCAAGAAGAAGAAATATACAATCCTAAAGGTGTCTTAACATAAGAATTTGAAGCTATGGCGCTTAGCTCATTAAAATATTTCAGGAAAATAAGATCAAGCGTAGGGATGTTTGTCTCTCGACAAAAAAATACACCATGGACTTACTAAATGAAACACATCAGTAGGTCCTTTAAAATGAACTGGAGCTAAGGAAGATTTAATACCAATTGA